AAACAGGTCAGAAACACCCCTCAATTCCCTGGTCCTGAAAATGTTTTTTTGTTGGAGAGAGGCCACTTGTTCATTCCCGGTTGCCCAGACCATGAAATAATCACACTGAAACTATACTAATTAAAACACTGCTTGGCCAATCAATTAAGCGTATTGTTAACTTGCTCTTATGTCTTTGGTTAACCCATTTCTATTATTTTATATCTTACAATGAGGCTTATGATCTACCAGCAAGGTTCTGGCTGGTGAGTTGCGTATTTCTCCTCTGGTGGCTCCATGGCTTCTCCCTGACTCTGCCTCCTCTCTCTCTATATCTCTTTCAACCTGGCTTTACCCTGTTAAGCCATTGTCCAAAAGCAGCTTTTTTATTAACCAATGGAAATAGAATATACATCACCTCTCACATAATTTCTTCCTAAACTTAACTTTGTCCTCTCTTCTGCCAACACCTTGCCAGGTCCAAGAGACACCGGACAGTTCAATACCACAAACCCTGGACAGTAGTAAAGCGACCAGCTACCCCAGAATGTGACCAGCACCCAGCTTTCTCAGGCCCCTTCTCCTAAGATGACTCCCACAAATAAGCAGGAAGCAGTCTTGAGAATTCACCATCCCAAGTCCCTCAACCTGCTATGCCTAACCCCCACCTTTTTATTATGAGAGAAAGATGGAAATGTTATCATTTTGCTGACCTTCCCTCTCACCTGGGTACCCTGTTTCTTTAAGAGACAAGTCTGCCTGCTCCCAACACTCCACCACTCCCCACTTCTGCTGAGGCAATGGATCCATCCCCTGCCTCCTCTCTAGCCTGTTCTCTTCCTGTCCCTCTTTCCAAGAGGTAACTACTGCCCCCTCCCTTCTTCCCCCTTATTTACCCTTCTCCCCTTTACCCCTCTCTTTCCCCTCCATAACCCAGTAAACTCTATACCAAAACTCTTTCTTTCTGCATGACGTATCTGTCTCTCACCTGCCATGTCTCCCACGTGCCAAAGGGACCCACTGAGGCCTTGAGTAACCCGCAGCTGCCCCACTTCTGCCCCTCGTGGGACTGCTCCCCTACCATATGTTTACAAACACTAACACTCTCAGGAGCATGTGAGGAATGCTAGTGAAAAGGAAATCATGTTTAGTCCCACAGTCTCTATTTCTGTCTCCATTATTTCTACAAAAACAAACAAAAATGAGAGCTCTTTTTTTTTTTTTTATAGATTTTAGAGACAGGGTTTCTCCTTAGCTTTTGGTTCCTGTCCTGGAACTAGCTCTTGTAGACCAGGCTGGCAGCTCATTTTTTTTTTTTTAAATCAAAGACACTCCATTGACTTCAGGAGTCAACCTCAGTTACTCAAAAATCACATTTTTTTTTGACTCAAAGTTTAAAGTAAAAATTACACTAAACAATCAAAGATAAGAAGGGCAAGGATGTACCACAACGGGCACAGCTTTTGCCTGGCATGGATGAAGCCCAGGGTTCTCTCTCCCGACACTGCATAAACTGGAGGTGTTGAAGAACACCATTGATTCCTGGCAGGAAGAGGTAGGAGGATCCAAAGTTCAAGATCATCTTTACCATAGCACATTTGAGTCAAACTCTATATACACGAGAACTTGACTCGAAATCTAAGAATCTAGACAGGCCTGGCAATATGACTCAGTGGGTGAGGGCACTTGCCACCAAGGATAAGGCCCGAGTTTGTTCTTTCCAAATGGTTGAAGGAGAGAACCGACTCCCTTACATTCTCCTCTGACCTCCCCATTTGTGTACATGCACACATATACATATACACACTAAATAAATGCAAAATATTTTAAAATCAAAAGATAATCCACTGAAGTTTAGAAAGAATACCTAAAAGGTCTATAGTAGGTTGTAGGGCCCATGGGTCTACCCCTGCTCCCGGTTTCATCTTGAGGACAGTTTCTGGCCAGCTAGTTTAACATCCTGTTTGTTCCTGTGCTCCCTCTGCCCCCTTGGTGGCTAGCTATAGGACCACTGTTTACTCCACCTTGGGTGTGGTAATTTCCACCTGCCTGGGGGGAATTCCATTGTGCAGCAGCTACGTAAGGAAGCTTTTTCCTAAGCTTGAATAAACGGCATTTGACAGATCTCCTATCTGACCAAGGTCTCTTGTGTGTTCTTTCAGTCTCCAGGCCCTTGCCTGGCTTGCAAATGGTAGTGGTGCGCGAACTGTACTGGGAGTAATGCTGGCCTTACATTAGGTTTTTTCACTTCACTTGACAAGTAACTTGGAATTTTCCACAACAAGAGTAACATATTTGCAGCCACCATCATAGATGTGAATTCATTTTCCTAGGTAAAGTTATAAAGATATAGCCAAAACAATCCCAATGAGTCAGGGAAAAGAAAGCACACACTGTTCTGCTCCTGCATCAACAGTGGGCCAAACTGAGAGAACCACAATCTAAGATGAGTGGCATAGAAAACAGCATAGTGATTTAGAGAACACCAGTGGGCATGGTGGCTCACACCTGAAATCCCAGAATTCAGAATTCAGGAGGCTGAGGCAGGAGGATAAGTACAAGTTAGTGACTAGCCTGGACTATATCTTGGGTTCCAAGCTAGCTGCCAGCCCAGGCTACAGAGTGAAACCTACGAAGGGCCACACATGTCACTACAGGGAGCTTCTTTTTTTTTTTTTTTTTTTTTTTTTTGGTTTTTCGAGATAGGGTTTCTCTGTGGTTTTAGAGCCTGTCCTGGAACTAGCTCTTGTAGACCAGGCTGGTCTCGAACTCACAGAGATCCGCCTGCCTCTGCCTCCCGAATGCTGGGATTAAAGGCGTGCGCCACCACCGCCCGGCCTACAGGGAGCTTCTTAACAGCCTTACAACACTGGTAATCTGGAGCCGGAGGAGCAGTGATTGCTCAGCCAATAGCTGTTTACTGATGAGACAGATCACCACATGCTCTGGGCTGATCTCTGATCACCATATTCTATAATTGTGTGCAATGACTGCATATCAAGAAAACAATGAAAAAGTAAAATAAAACAAAGGTTTAAAAAAAAAAAGAAGACCCTAGCAGACTCCTAAATCCTAAACATATGACTAACAATGATCAGAATAAAATCTCAAATAATAACCATGGTGTGTGTACTTCATGTAGTGAAGTAGGTACCGACTTTATTCAGTTGTCAAATGAACAGCCTATTTGTGGGATCTCTCCATGCTGATCCACAGAGCATCTTTGTCACCAAAGGATTTCTTCATTTAGAGATGATTAATTCTGGTCCCTTGTTCATTTATTTATCCCCATGTCACTTCTAAAATGTCTATTATAACGTCATCAAACGCTCGGCATTTAAAGGTAGTGTGTGCACGTGTGCTATGCAGAAGTCAATTGTAGGTATTGTATCTCAGGAGCTATCCACTGTTTGGAAGCAGGCTGATCCAAGGCTTTCCTCTGAGGCCCAGAAAAGGAGAAAAAGAATGCTAATTCTGTCTTTGCCCAGGGGCAGACTTGACAAGGTCCCATCAGAGGCCAGGGTCTCCAATGAGTTAAGGTTTTAGTTTCTGGGAAACTGACTTTTCTCCCAAACTAAGGTCTTTAAGTTTGCGTGGCAAGAACTTTGTCTCAGTAGACTGAGGTCTCTCCTCAGCTGCAGTGATGGTCATTAGAGCCAGCACAAGGACCCCAGTTATTCTCAGCAACACACGGTGAGCACTGAATGAACCTATTTCCAAATTTCACCACCGGCTGCACTGTTTTAACTTAGTATGTCTCTTATTTTTCTCAGCCAGCAACGCAGTACTTCCTCTCACTAGTTACCAACCATTTTCTGACCACATACCGAATGCCAGTCACATATCTGACACCAGGGTATAAATGTGGAAGGCCTAAGTTTTCCTAAGGAACTCCCGACTGTGTGAGTTGTGGTGGTGTTGGTGGTGTGTGTAGAGAGAGATGTTTCATAGTGGGGTGAGAGAGAAGGAAGTGTGTAGAGAGAGATGTTTCGTAGTGGGGTGAAGGAAGTGGGGTTGTTACTGGGTAGACGGTTAGATGTGACGAAACTATGAAACTATGGAAAAGGACGGCTGTATCTTGGTGGCAGTGACTCCCCAGGTCAGAGGCCCCTTTGTGCAGATCAAGAGCTCCTAACTATATCAGAAGAGCCCAGGGCACTTCCCCAGCGCGCATGCAGACAGACAGTGCAGCATGTTCTAGAGACCCCTACTTTATTAAAATGACGCTTACACGGTTTTGTTTCTCGACCCACCGTCTTAGCCTCCTCCAGAGATCAATGGAAGGAGTAGCCAGAAAAGGGAGAGCGGATCCTCCATGATTTGTGAGAGCAAATGAATACCCACCACTTACGAGGTGGGTACCAAGAATGTTACCCACCTCGTAAGGATTCCTAAAGGGTCTTCAGAATCCACAACATTGAAGCCTGCTGACTACTCCCCAGCCCCTCCTTCAGGGCATCCCTTTGGTGTATACGCTGTGCTTTGCCAAACGCGGGCTTCAACTCTTCTCTTCATTCAATTCTAAAAGTCACAAACCTGGAGACCCGCCCCCACTATAAAAAAATATACAGTAACTGTTGAGTTATACACGAATAAAGAAGCATGAAGAATGGGGCTGGCGAGCAGAGGCCGTAGCCGCCAAGCCGCCAACAGGAGTTCGATTCCCGGGTTCCTCAGTTGTCCTCTCCGTCTTCCAGCTCCACACAGGAAGAGGAGGGATGGGCGGGACACAGCTCCGGGTCACGTGGCCGCTCGCGGACTGCTGTCGCGGGAACAACCTTCGGACCCCGCGCACCGAGAAGAAACAGCAAGAGAGGCTGCCAATTGGCTCCAGAGCAGCCTACAACGGACACCGCGCAGCCGGCAGCACTGGGTAGGACCGGGACGCAGCGCGCGTGACGTCAGCACCGCCTGCCGCGCGGTCCCGGGGCTCGCGCCTGCGCATTCCGCTCCTCGCGCTGCTCTCGGCGATCCCGCCTTCCCGCCTCGCGTCACTTCCGTAGGACGCGGCGCGTCGTCGCTCCGTCACTTCCTGCCGCTACCGGTGTGGACGGTGGGTGGCGGCAGGCCGGCTCCGCGGCGCTCCCCTCCCCTCTTCCCTCCCTCCCTCTCCCTCTCTCCCTTGGCGGCCGCGAGTCGCGGGGACTCCGGAGCCGGCCTTGGTGTGAGTGCGGAGCGCCGCGGCGGGCTGAGGAGAAGGACACACGCGGTCCGCGCTTCGCGTTACCCCGCTCGCCGCCGCCATGGCCATGAGGCAGACGCCGCTCACTTGCTCCGGCCACACGCGGCCCGTGGTGGACTTGGCCTTCAGTGGCATCACGCCTTACGGCTATTTTCTGATCAGCGCCTGTAAAGGTGAGCCGAGCGGTGGGGGCGGGGTATCGTCGCTGCCGGTTAGAGCGAGAGGGAGCTGGCCTCTCGGCTCGCCCCGGTCAGGCTCTGTGTGGCACCCTCCATTCTCCCCGGTTTTAGTGCTCGTTCAGAAAACCGTGCACTGAGCCTTCGACACAGAACTGCCCTGTGTCTCCGAAGGGTTTACTGGAAGGGGGAATTAGGCCAGGCCGAGAGGAGTGCCTTTTATGCCTTCGCACTCATCCCGCAGTTTCATCCTTTGTGGTCGGAGCCTCTTTTCTTTTCTCCCCAGAGGAAAATGTAATTAAGGTTTAGTTGGTTCAAAGTCACAAATGCCTGTCTAGGTTGTTTTGACACAAGGCAGTGGCTTCCAGCCTTCTGTTCGTGTGTATCCGTGTGTTGTCTGCGTGCTTGCTTGGACATGTGTGAAGGGGAGCCCAAAGAGGTTCGAAGAGGGCGTCGGGTTCCCTAGAGCTGCTGTTCCAGGGAATCGGAATCGGGTCCTGGAAAGCGTTTCTCCGTACAATTGTTTTGTAATCGGAGTTTGCTAACGTGAGGGAGGCGTCTGATCCAGTCCCAAAATCATTTATGCTTCCCAAGAAGAGGGACCAAAATTCCTCAGTCCAGTTATGAGGACCAGACCTATGGACCAGGGCTCCACAATGGGACCCCCCCACCCCCCAGGTTGCTATTCAATATTTGATGTTATGTTGCAGACTTCTAAATCACATGTCTTAAACTGTTTTCTAGATGGCAAACCTATGCTTCGCCAGGGAGATACAGGAGACTGGATTGGAACATTTTTGGGTCATAAAGGTGCTGTTTGGGGTGCAACGTTGAATAAAGATGCCACCAAAGCTGCCACAGCAGCTGCAGATTTCACGGCGTAAGTGTAACAAAGATGGCTAACTTTATTCTCTCTGACTTGTGTGGTGACATCGTCAGAATCTGCGACTCAGCTGGTGCCATGGAAAACACGTGGTATTTGATCTCACCAAGATCCCATCCTGGTTCCCCAGACTTGAAGGTTTAAATGACTTAACTCCGTGTCTTTGATTGATACCAGGATTCCTTTATGATTCCTCCTGCATAATGGATGTTGTGATGTCCGTTACAGATGTTTCTCTAAATTGAGTACTATATAGTGCTACCTCCAGGTGCTTTTTCACTCAGTTTGATTAAGGGCTCTAGATACATTTAAAATTGGGTCTCACACTTATTCTTCATTTCCTATGGTTTTAAAGATGGCAGTCTGAAAGATGCTTGATCTTCCTTAGGTCCTCATTGTCACCAGTTTTTGATTCTACTGGTAGTCGCTGTGTTTGCCACTGCCTTATTTCATGCTCATCGTAGTTTAAAAACAGAGGCATGTGTTGCAGTGTATATAATTTTGGTGTATAGTTACACTAGTGTTTTTAAACCAATAAAGATAGCTTTATCTGCTGTTGTTTGTGCAGGCATGTGCATGCCGTGGTGGGTGTTTGGAGGTCAGAGACAGTTTGGGAGTTGAGGTTCAGGGATCTGATTCAGGTTGTCAGGTGTGTGCCTACCGAGCCATCATGCTGGCCCAAAGACAATGTTAAGAGCTGCTGTTCATGTAGACAAGAACCTGGAGAGTAAAATTGATCTGTTGATTTCTTGTTTAAAAGGATTTCATACTAAGGAGCAATTGTAAATTGTGTTGCCATTTTTGACTTAAGCATATTAAAACTATTAAGTTTAAAAAAAAAGAAGACATCTTATAGCATATTACCATATACCCTTGTTGAAACCTAGACCTTTCTATATACAGCCCAGTGAATTTTACTGTATGTACATTTAAAAATAAGCGGAGTTTAAAAAGACAAGTAAAGCTCTGTGGACTTTTCTGTGCCTTTGAGGAATCAGTTGCTGTTACAGCATTGGTGTAACCATCATAAAGCTTTGTGTGCTGCCCTGTTAGGATGTTGTAGCATAAATCTGATTTTAAAAGCTGCTATGAGTTTTGTGTTAATGTTTCTAGGCCAAAAGTTGCTTTAGATGTCAGCTGCATACTAACTCACAATATACAGCACTCTGTTATATAGCCCAGACTGGCGTCATACTTATCGTATATGTATAGTTAAGGATGTCTTTGCATTTCTGGTCCTCAGCCTCCTTCATTTGAGTTAAGCTGTCACAGGTGAGCTGAGAGCCACCACACTGGTTTTATGTGTGTTAGTAGGCAAGCATCTGTCAGCTGAGATCCATCCACAGCCCTGACAAAGTGCTCCGAGGAGGTGAAAATGGGAAAAAGAGTAATGTTCAGATATGGAAGAGTCCCAGTGGACTCCCGGAGAGCAGAGGGAAGCTACCTACCTGTTGTCTTGTTTGTGCACTAACTGTAGTACTTATTGTAATTAATGTACCCTTAAGGTTGAGGCCATGTTTTATATTCCTTTCTTTTTTATGATTTGTTTTTATTTTATGTGCATTGGTGTTTTGCCTACATGTATGTCTGTGTGAGAGTGTCAGATCCCCTAGAACGGGAGGTAGAGATAATCGTGAGCTGCCAGGTAGGTCCTGGGAATTGTACATGGAAGAGCAGCCAGTGCTCTTAACACTGGGCCATCTCTCTAGCCTTTTATATTCCCGATTTAAATACTGCTTTATACTTGCCTGATAAGTCACTTGAAAAAAGTTACTAAAGTAAAAGGTCAGGGAATGGATCTTGATTTTTATTTATTGAATATTTGAGTCTGTAATTGCTGTAGGTTTCTCTTTTTTTCCTAGTAAGGTTTATTTTTCACTAAGTTCATTAAGAACATTGTCATTGGAGGTAAAATTTATTTATTTTTTTAAATAATGGGTGTAGAATATTTGATCAGTGTTATACAGCTAGGTATTTAAGAGGGAGGGGGCTTTATTTTCAGCTCTTGAAATTGAACCCAGGCTCTTTGTCAAGCACTGTACCACTGAGTTAAAGCCAAGTTGCCAAATTGACTTAACTGTATAGCCAAGGTGGTGGGAAACGTATAGCCTTCCTGTTTCAGCTTCCCATGCAACTAAGATTGATGGGTGCATAACACTACAGCTTACTGGTGGGCCTGGTGTGGGCACACGTTCCTAAGATCACAAGTTCAAGGCAAGCCTGGAGTACACAGAATTCCAGCCAGGTGGGCTTTATGGTTAGACCCTTCCCCCCAAGCCCCCAATTTCATTGTGGCAATTAGGTCACAATATTTTGACAGTAAGCTCATGGTTAATAATAGTTTAGATCAAATATAATCTAATTAAACCTATAATTATGTATTATGTATTATATATTGTATTATAATGTTATTTATACTATATTTAAACTAAATATATAAATGTAAGATAATAAAGTTGTAAGTGTTGATATTGTGGACATTAGCATTCTCAAGGATGAGCTTTTAGATTGCAGTTTAAAGATATATTTCTGTTAACTTTGATTTTGCCATAACCTGGCCTTAACAATGTCAATTAAAGCAGACTGCTTTGCCACTTACTGCTTTTGGTCTTATACTGGTTTTCTGGGCAGTTAGGGAGGATCCTGTATTGTAGTGAAAGCTATGATGAATCTTGTTTTATACATCTTACCAAATTCTATGCTAGCCCTCAGGAAAATAAATAAAAAGTATACAAGAGTCCTGCTCATGTGAGAACTATTTTGAAATGGAGAGAAAATAGTGATAAATGTTTTGAAAACCCTGATTTTGGATTTTTCTGCTGAAGCAATAAAAGCCAAATCCTGCCGAATTGATAAAACAAGGTTTAATAAACTGAGCAAAGCAACTCCGGGTTGATTCTCAGAGGGGAAAGGAGGAGAGAAATCACGTGGCAGGTCTAGGGTCCAGGCCTTAAGTACCCTGGCATCTCCTGGGGAGGAACAGCTTCCTGAAGGTGGGTTCTGGGGAGAGAGATAGATGGGGTTCAAACAAAGAGTTCCCAGCTAAACATCTGGGCCGGGTTGGAATGGGAGAGGGAGAACTGAGCAGATATTCTCAACAAACAGGTGTGAAAAGTGTATGGGCCACCCCCTCCCATTATTGAACTGACCCTGAGCATAACCAAGGTTTTATCTTGTTGCTGCAGGCCCTTTGTCTAGGTCATTTGGAGTATTGCTGACTGAAAGGACTATAGGCTTGAGGACGTGTCTGCATAGTTGTATTAGTCAGGGTTCTCTAGAGGAACAGAACTTATAGAATGAATCTCTCTGCATAAAAGGGTATTGTCTGAATGGCTTACAGACTGTGATTCAGCTAATCCAATAGTGGCTACCTTTGAACAGAAGTTCCAAGTATCCATTCTGTCAATGAAGCTGGATGTCCCAGCTGGTCTTTCCACTTCAAATGAGGTGTTCCCAGTCATTGGAGTTTTAGTTAACTCTGGGTGTAATCAAGGTCACAACCAAGAATAGCCTATACAATAGTGTTGATGCTTTCCTAACATTTCAGGTCCCAATATTTGCACTTGTAATTGATAGTAGGTGTGTGAACACAGTCAGGTATCCTGTATTTGAGTCCTGATCAAATGTTTCTGTGACCGCAGATCCTTTGACATCTGATCCCGTGTTTCACAGTCCATCAAAGTTAGAGTAGTAGTAGCAAGCTTGCTGATAGCTCTGGTTAGTATTATTCTGGTCTTCAGTGAATGTGTAGTATACATTGCAGTAAAATTTTGTTGTTGGAAGAGTATTTGACTTATTTAAATAGACATTTCAAAGGGCATTAAGAGATGGAGTATCACTCAGTGATAGAGTGCTTGCTTATCATGCAAGGATCTGTGTTCAGTCCTGTGTATGACCAAACAAAAAAGATTAAGATGGACATTACCCAGAGTTCTCTTGACACTCGTAAAATTAGGTAGATACGTCAGGTGTTTTGATAGTGTGATGCTTCTGATCCTAATCCATGTGAACTCATAGCTAGATAACCCTTCTCTGGCTAAGAATGAGTATGTATAAACAAAAACAAAGCAGAATCCAGTGCCATGGTCCTTGAAAGCTGAACTCTGGAAGAAGTGAAATAAATGGTTGCTGGGTGTGGTGGCACACACCTTTCCAGTACTTGGGAGCTGAAGGCAGGAGGAGCTTGAATTGGAGACCAGTTTGAGAATATGTCAGCTTAATGCCAGGACTACATAGAGAGATCCTACCTCCCCCAAAAGAAGAATTATTAATTATTGAATGAGAAGATCTAGTGGAGATTAGTGTTTGGAATGAGGATGCAAAGAACTTTGAGCATACAGATATGGGCAGGGTGTTGGAGCTGAAGAAAATATATGGGTTATAGTTATGATCTTGGGAGCCTAGGATCAGAAATAAAAGGAGGTTGGGGCAGAGTTAAACTAGAATCAAAGAGATCGGAGTGTATAAGAGAAATCACGGTGATATTTCTTGACATATTTTACAGCCATTCATAGAACTTCAAGTTTGTATGTGTAAGCTTGGATGTTATATCACTAATTCCTATTTCTTAATTTTGTACATTTTATCTAATGCTGTTGATTTAGAATGCTTTGTGCTCCTGGTTCCTGGTGTCGTTCTGTTTTCTTCTTAGGACCTCTGGCTCTCCTTGGAATCTCTAGACTTTGCATGTACCTTATGTGCTTGGAGCGGGGAGAGTGACTGCTTGGTTTTATTTTTTATTTTTTTATTTTTTTTTTATTTTTGATTTTTGAGACAGGGTTTCTCCGTAGCTTTTTGGTTCCTGTCCTGGAACTAGCTCTTCTAGACCAGGCTGGCCTCGAACTCACAGAGATCCGCCTGCCTCTGCCTCCCGAGTGCTGGGATTAAAGGCATGTACCACCACCGCCCGGCTGGTTTTATTTATTTTTTTATACTTATGTTTGTGTTTTAAGAAAGATCTCACTGTGTAATTAAGACTAACCTAAATGCAGAATCCTCCTGCCTCAGCATCATAAAGTGAGTGTATAGGTGTGCCTAGTAACACCTAGCCCTCTACCATCTTGATTTAAACTTGATCTGATCTGTATCAAGGTCTAACATTGTACAATTTTGAAGTAGTTAAATTCACCGAAGTGCTATGTAGTTTTCTCTGGCATGTGAGTAGACAAAAGGATGATTTGATGAACTGAATTGGTTAAAATATCCTTCTGGCTTAGTAAAAACAAATACGGGTATAAGCTGTTGGAGACCAGCCAGGATAGAGGTGTGGGGATTAGAAATATAAGTAAAAAGTACAAAGATGCGAAAATAATAAAGCAGAAACCATAGGAGAGTGCCGGGAAGGAGTTCTAGTGAATACTAAAATCTCCCGAGTTTAATTTTCCATATGGTTTTAATGCCCTAACACAAAAAAGGGGAGAGGGGAGAAGGCAGCAAAAGACTTAACTCAATACAAAGGACATCTCAAACAGTTAATTGCTTTAACACTTTGAGACATCAGGTCATTAGCATTCTGTTGAGGCACTGAAGCCATTCTAGACCAAGCATCCTGAAGGTAATCATTCCTAAGGTAACCTCATATTACAAAAGAAAGAGCAGAAGTACACTTGCATGTCCTGACCATCTGTCAGGATGGAATGGATCTACTTGTTTCAGCCATCTTAATGTCAAAAGAACCTGAGTCAGGGTATGTAGCTACACTTGTTGTCAACAATTTTGAGCAACCTCCAAACTGACCATCAGACAAGGTGGAAATAGGCTCACATTTTTGGTCCTCCACATAAACTAAAAAGTAGGCTGGGTTAATTTGAGAATCTTGAATAAGTTACTTTTTTCCAAGAAAAAATTAAAAGTTGAAAAGTCCTATGGAAAAATTGCCTTTTTTAAAAAAAATGCCTTTTTTAGATAAATCAAGTATCATAATAATGAGTACTTAGATACATAATACAATTACATAGATATTATGTGTGTCATTATTTTGTATTGATTAGAATTACCATTATACTTAACCTTGTATTGATGTTGTGGAATATTTGTTTATGTTCCTTTTTTAGCAAAGTGTGGGATGCTGTCACGGGAGATGAATTGATGACCCTGGCTCATAAGCATATTGTCAAGACTGTGGATTTCACACAGGTGTGAGAAAATGAAATTTTGACTAAGGATGTAGTTCAGTGTGGTATACTGTTTGCATAGCATGTGAATGAGGTCCTGAGTTACATTTGAGTTAAGTGTTACTCAGGTGCAGAGTGACAGTTTCTGTGCTACAAGGGGGTGGGCAGCAGCAGAATGGCAGCTCTTGTGGTACAGTTTAGTATGTTTGAGAGGGAAACTTGAGCTTGGCCATTCTAAGTTTATAGTGTTCTCCTAGAAGTAGTTGGCTACAATTTCATCTTTTTGGTGATTATATTTAATTAACTGTTAAAGTGGTTAATCATTTTTCTTTTTTGTTTTCAGGATAGCAACTACCTGTTAACTGGGGGGCAGGATAAACTGCTGCGCATATATGACTTGAACAAACCTGAGGCAGGTAAGCATAACTGTGTCTCATTTTCTGCTTTTCCATAAAAAAACTGATTAAAGAACCACAAACATTTGAAAGTTAAGATCAGTACCAGAAAGAAACATTCATTATCTCTTCTCCTTTGTTAAAATCTTAATTTTTGTTACAATATATTCTGTCAAGTTGTTTTCTTTCCTATGCCAATTTTATTTTACTTTTGTCTTATTGCATCCCTCATATAGCCTTTAGGCAATGTAAAGTTTCATTATGGTAAACTGTTGTATACTGTTTTACTCTTTTGGCTTTATTGGGGCCCACCACTCAGCTCCCAAACAAATCACACAGAGGCTTATTATTACTTACGAATGCCGACCTTAGTTTGGCTTATTTCTTGCCAGCTTTTCTTAATCTAAATTACCCTGATTACCTTTTGCCTCTGGGTGTAGGTGGAGGCTGCTCGTTTTGTTTCCTGGCCACTCAGACCCAAAATGTCACACATTAAACTATATTAATTACAAGACTGTTTGGTCAATAGCTTAATCATGTTTCTAGCTAACTCTTCTGTCTTAAATTAATCCATTTAATTTATCACCATGTGTATCACCATGTGTATTTAATGATACGGCATGTGTATCACCATGAGGTTGTGGCCTACCGGGTAAGGTTCCGGGGTGTTTGTCTCCTCAGCAGCTACATGTGTCTCTTTGACTCTGCCTACTTTCTCTCTCTATGTCTTCCAGCCTGGCTATATTCTTCCCTGTCATAGGCCCAAAGCAGCTTCTTTATTAACTAATGATAATAAAACGTATTCGTAGAATACAGAGGGGAATCCCACATCACCTCCCCTTTTCTGTCTAAATAAGGAAGGTTTTAACATTAACAAAGTAAAATTACACATAACAATAGTTATCAAACAAGAATTATAGTTACAATATTTAGTCTATTTACATTTGACAAATTAGGAAAATATCTATCCTATCTTTGTGAGTCTAAAGTTTTATATCTAATGTATCTTTTATAACTATAACTTACTTCAACTCCATCAGACTCCAGAAGGATACAGCATACCTAAGTAAACAGGAAATACTTTGTAAACATCTTACAAAACTCTAGAATTGATAGAGACATCTTGCTGCCTGAGCAGTCACCCACAGTTCTGTAACATTGGGGCATCCATCTTCAGCCTACAGGCCTTTAGTATCTGGCAGAGTTTTTCATGAAACGGGGAATTTCAAAGACAGTTCTGCCTATATTGGCAGTTTGTTAGTCATGTAGAATGTCTGTCAGGTCCTTCTATGAAGCAGGAACCCTGAAGGACAGTCTCACTTTCTTTAGGCAACTTCAGCAGTCATTTTTCTCTTTGCTGCATGTCCAGTTTATACAGCATACCATCAAGTAGTCCAGGCAAGAGCAGTTTCTTGCTCAAATTGCTAACCAACTCCATAAAGAGTCTCTTTGATGCCTATCATCCTTTTGAAGTAGATAGGTGCTGCCAGGAGCAGATGTATCTCATTGTCATGAAAAGTCTTAAAACATTTTAAATGCCCTATTCTGTTACTCTCTGAAATATTTGAAGAATACCTACCTACCTGAAATATATCTCTGTATATGTAGAAAACCTAACTAACATGACTACAAGCATGATTTATAAATGACTGTCTATTAGTCTGTATATTTTAATTATACATTACATTTTTAAATGTAAATGCACAAATACAATACCTTAATCAAGAGCAAAATCATACATAAAACAAAATTGATTTTTAAATTTGTATCACTAGACCAAGATCCATACCAATGCAAAGTATTCATCTCTATGTCATAGCTCCCTTCAAATGTAAACAAACATTTTAAAACAATATTTGGGAATTTGGGTATAGTTCTCTCCAAACTGCTTCCTGCTGTTTTTTTTTCGGCAAAGTATTTTTTTGGGGAGGTTCATGCAGATTTTTCGGTGGGGGGTCTTGTTCCATCAAACCACATTAGTCTGTAAGGAATCCACAGGTTCTCATCCTCTGGAAAGAAAAGCAGAACCTATATTCATGTAAAAACCCAAGAGAGCTCTGGCTCTTCTTTTGGGGCTGATGCCCACCACCCACTTGGGGTCCAGATGCTTATGTGCTCTCTCAGGGTCAGGAGGAAAGTAGCTGAGACCATGCCCATGGCTCAGCATTCCCCGCCTCAGCAAGTGGTGGGATCGGGTCTGCTAGGTGTGCACAGGCAGGAGGGCACGGTGGATTCCCACCGCCACACAGAGATACTTCTAGGCTGTGCACTGTGCTGCATGACAGATTGGGCTTTTACTCAGATAAAAAGGGTTTGTGTGCTGCATGCTCCTTCTCAAGAGTTAAAGTGGTGAGCGTGGCTCCTACTGGGCTGTCACAGAGCTGGCAGTAATGGTACCTCTGCCATATTGAAAGGCAGAGAGAAGGCAGAGAAGGGCTGCCGCAACCATACTGCTTACCATTTTAAAGTGCTCTTGGTCAGAAGATTATTACAGATATGCAGTAAAGACAGATTCAGTTAAAAAAGACCTCTAAATGGATCACGGTGTTGGATAAATGTACATAGGCTTGGGAGAGAGAAGAAAAAGTATAGACAATTATAAAAAATAGTTTTAAAAAATAAGACAAAATCTTTAAAGTGAGCAGAGACAGTCATAGAGTAAAGGAGTAAAGAAAAATAAGCCCCGTAAAGATGAAATATATACAGAGTCTGGATTATGCATATTACTGTTTTTTTTTTTATTTTTTTGACTGAATGAGATATGTACAGGGAGACATTTCATTGTGCGGGCTGCTAAGCTAAACTAACATGTACTTTAAAGGTATCTTGACTTCAAAATTTGGATGTAAGGAAATGTTGCTTTGGAAAATCTGGTCTTTTATCTTTTTCTATTTCTGTATACTGTTCTTTCCTTCTTTTTCCATGGCCTGCTGTGTAGGGATGGCTGGCCCCTGATGTCCTCCTCCTTGTTCCCTTGCTCCTCTTTTTTCTCATTTTTCTTTCTATTTATACTCTCTGCCTGCCAGCCCTGCCTATCTTCTGCCTCGCTATTGCTGTTCTCTTTTTTAGGTGTTTTAGACAGGCACAGCATAGCTTCATGAGTTAAAACAAGTGCAGTGCAAACAAAAGTCACACACTTGAAAATAATATTCCTCATCACTGAGGGTTTTTCATTTCATGATACTAGGTTCTGTAAAGGTGTCAGAACAATGTTACTAGATTTTGGGTGATGTGTGATGTCACCCTCTGTAGGACAGGATGTTGAGACATCAGTGTGCATCTGAAGGGTGAGTGTTTCAAAATTTAGCTGTATTGGCTGTTCAGAAGAAACATCTGTAAGTGGAGATAGTATTATTCATGAATTAACAAAATTGACACCAAGTTTAAAAAAGTGTATTGTGATTAAGCAGTTATTCTGTAGCGTTAATACTCTATTTGGAAAAGCGTTTCTAAAGTGATGGATTGTGCTTCTCACCACTGTTCTAATTACCTTCTTTGCCTTTTTCTCTGCCTGTTTCTTGGTATTCTTAGGCTAAAATATGTGTTGAACTTCTCTGATAGGGTAAAAGTAGTTCAGGAGTTGGGGGACTTCTCTTCATCTTCACCTCTCCAAGCTATTTTTTGAGGTTTTTTTTTCCCCCAGTGGATTAGCAGTAAAAGTGATAGCAATTAATGAAACTGACTGTATGTCAAATAGTATTAAGCACCTCAGTTGTATGTTTGTACGTAATCATCATAGACTATATGTAACAACATCTATTACCCCATTTTAAAGGTGAAGAAATGAAGTTTCTCCCCTGGGAATTGCTTATGCTACTTTAAAATTTTCCCTTTCTCCTTCTGCCCTCCATCTTCTTGACAATTGTGTGTGTGTGTTGTGTGTGTTTCGCCTCATTAGTTACTGCCAGCGGTGACTCGGATAAAGATCCTAGATTTTTATGAGGATTGACTTAGTACACCCTTGTTTCTGGGCCAATGTTCTTACCAAGAAACATCACATTTGCTGTCCATTAATAGTATGTTGTGGTATAATAGTACCTTTGGATCTAGAAGTCAGTGTAGAAAACTACACGTAAGGGGATGTGTCTCCGCTTCATATAGCAAGGTTCATTTGGGTTGAGGTTCATTGTCATACAAGTGAATTACTGTTCCAGTTTAGCAAAACCTAAGTGCATCTGATAGACATCAAATTTGGAATGGGCTGGGGTGTATTGTTTTAGTATTGCTCAGTTCAGAAAGCTAGATATTTATTATGCATTTTAAATTGTTTTATCTAAAGAACCTAAGGAAATTAGTGGTCACACTTCCGGTATTAAAAAGGCTCTGTGGTGCAGCGAGGATAAACAGATTCTTTCAGCTGATGATAAAACTGTTCGGTAAGTTAACTTTTTTTCAATAATTGACTGTTTGAAAAGCATTTTACCTTGGAACTTATAAATACATTTAATAATCATGTTGGAAAATATGTGTAAGTTAACATTTATCAATGTATGTCACATTTACCTGGAGCTGTTTACTATTATTTACATGGGGTAGAATTCAGAAAGTCATTAAAGCTGCTGATGTGTAGTTGTTCTGAATGTCGTCATGGTCAGATTGGCTGAGGGGATTCATAAGGCTCTTAAAACTTTGTGTGTTATGACCTGATGTATTTTCCTGTGAAAAGATTGGTAACTGTTGGATAGACTAAAACAATTGTCAAAATCTATGATAAAGTTGATTTCATCGACAACCTAACAAAGGTTTTGACTTAGAATCCAGAACTCCTTTATGATTTGTGACAAAAATTACTTTAAGTATGATTATTTTTCTCATGGATTTATGTATAGATAAAATTGAAGATATTTCTGATCACTGACGAAAAATTACTTTTCTTTTCCTTTTGCAGTCTTTGGGATCATGCTACAATGACTGAAGTGAAATCTGTGAATTTTAACATGTCTGTTAGCAGCATGGAATATATCCCTGAGGGAGAGGTCCTGGTTCTCACTTATGGGCGGACTATTGCTTTTCATAGTGCAGTAAGGTATGCCCAGGAAATTCCTGCATTTTATTTTGGGGATAAAAGGGAGAATCAGCTTATTTTAAAAATAAGGGCTGGCAGGCTGGCTGAGCTGTTGATTAACAGTGGTTGCTCCTCTTGTAGAGGACCAAAGTTCAGTTCTCAGCACCATTAGGGGATACGACTCAGTAGCGTGGCTTGAGACCATAGGTATAAATCCCTAGGACCTAAAAACAGTGAAGGATGTAGTGCGGACCTGATCATTTCTTTTTCTGTTGTGTGTATGTGTGTACTTGTGGTTTTTCTCTTAATAAGACTATGATGCATATAATCTTGTTTTTCTAATTAAAAATGTTCATATCCATTAAAACATTTTTATTGGTGGTATTTCATTAAGTTGTATGAGGTTATGTATCTGTTGCTGTGCTCTATCACTGTAGCTAATATTGTGGTACATCTTTGTTCTCAGTACCGGAATCCTGTAAGTACCATGTTGAGTTCAATCACAAAACTGAGTGTGGAGTTCTTAGCCTTGGCACTTAAAGGATTTCTGTAAAGATTAGACCAATTGTATTCTGACAGTAGTCTTAGCAGATAGTCTCAAGGAATATGTCCAGTGTTCAGCTTCATTGACTAGGAGACAGAAAAGTAACATGGAAGTTCTAAAAGTGTAAGGGAGCTCCCATAAACAAAGTAACTAATAGTGGAATACTTTTGCCCGGAACTATCAGACTGTACAACTATAACTGCTCATTCCTGAACCATGTAATCCTGCTGTAAACTTTTGCATGAGATCGCATTTGGTAATACCTGGCCTATTGAATGTTTCAAACAAGTAGTCATCTGTAGTGCTAGATATGCCATAGCTAACTTTAGTTTTTTCTCTGTTTTGTTGTTTTTTGTTCTATTTTGTTTTTTTGAGACAGGGTTGTTGACAGAAGTTTCTGTCCTGCCCAATCCTACAGCCATTCAACCCCAAGAAATACACAGAGGTTTACATTAATCATAAACTAGTTGGCCTATTAGCTCAGGCTTCTTATTAACTCTTCCTTACATTGAAAAATTAGACCATAAGTCTTGTCTACGTTAGCCACATGGATTGGTACCTTTATCAGCGAGGCAGTCACGTCTTTCTTCCTTAGTGTCTGGGTGACTACTGCAGACTGAATCTTTTCCTTCCCAGAATTCCCTTGTCGTCCTGCCTATACTTCCGGCCTGACTACTGGTCAATCAGCGTTTTATTAAATACAAGTGACAAATCTTTACAAAGTACAAGACCATTGTCCTACAGCACCCCCCCCCCTTTTTTCAAAACAACTCTGAATCTAATCTTCTTTGTTTAGCTTTTTTCCTGACCATTATCAAGACCAACTTGTGACCAACACTCTAAAAAAAAAACCAAAACAATCCATAATCCATTTTTTGAGCTTGTGGGCATAGTTTTCTAGGCTACCTCCTGCTGATTGGGTGCCCTGATTATCTTATGGGGACCTAAAGGAAATATAGAATTATGATCAAGTCCTGACTGGAATATTCTGTGAAGCTTGATCATTTCAGGCAGCAGTCTTGAAACTGTTCTGGATGTAGAACTCAAGACATCTGGGCAATCCGCTCCTATTGGAGATTTCTTAGGGTGTCTTCCTTGGTCAAACCTGATTTTTTTTAACTCAGTATGAATCCACAGTCCCTCATTTCCTGTGGAAATGAAAGCAAAACCTCTTCTCCAAAGTAACGTATCTTTTGCCTTAAATTTTAAAGTTAAAGCATTTTTAAAATATATATGTTGTATTAATCCAGCAGCATTTGTAATCAAATGTCTTAGCAACTGTTGTTCCTTCCTCAGCCATCAAACAAGCCAATGACAACACAACAACATACAGTATCCAGACTCTATGTATTTTTCATCTTTACATGGCTTTTTTTAAACTCAATTTCTTTTATTTTTAATTTTTGTTTTTTTTTGGGGGGGGACTAGGTTTCTCTGTGTATCTTTGGCTATCTTGGCACTTATTCTGTAGACCAGATTGTCTTTGAACTCAAAGAGATCCTCCTGCCTCTGCCTCCCAAATGTCGGGATTAAAGGTGTGTGCCGCCACACCCAACTACTTTATCCCTTTTTTTCTTTCTCAAGCCTATACATATTTTAAAACACTGTATATCTCTTTTTCTGAACACACGAGTCTTTAATTTACTAAGCTATATGGCTAGGATTAAAGCCATGGCTTTGACAGCTGGATCCACCCTATTCCTTAGCTTTCTGAGAGTTTAGCTTCATGGTGGAGGTACTGGCGGGAACCATATTTATTGCCACAGTTCTATGGAGTTTCAAGATCTCTGCCACCACCAAGAGGCATGCTGTCGGCTCTTCATAAACCACATATTGGCACTATTTGTTGATGGGTTTCTGTTCCACCTGGCCCCGTAGCCATTCAGTCCCAAGAAACACAGAGATCTACATTAATAACTGGTTGGCCTGTTAGCTCAGGCTTCTTATTAACTAATTCTAACATCTTCAATTAGCCAATAATTGTTGTCTGTGTTAGCCACATGGCTTGGTACCGTTTATCAGTGAGGCCTTCTCCTCTTGCTTCCTCTGTGTCTGGTTGAAGGCTGCAGACTGAATTTTCCTCTTTCCAGAATTCTCCTGTTCTCGTTGCCCCACCTCTATTTCTTGCCTGGTTGCCCTGCCTATACTTCCTGCCTAGCTACTGACCAATCAGCGTTTTATTAAAATACAAGTGACAAATCTTTACATAAAAGTACAAGACCATTGTCCCACAGCACTCCTGCACTTTTTTTTTTTTTTTAAAGAACTTTTTATAATCTTGTCTGTCTTTGGACTCTCTTTGTAGACCAAGGTGGTTTTAAACTCAGAGATCTGCCTGCCTCTTCATCCTGAGTGCTGGCTGGGGTTAAAGTCTTTCCCCACCATGGCCTGGCTAAGTTTAATTTGCATGTTTTATTTGTGGCATGTGGTGGTTGATGTTTTATATTGAAGTAATTTTCAGGATTGAACTGAAAAGGGCTGATGAGGAAACTACAGTTGATATTTCAGAGGAATCAGTTGGCATTGATAAATCAGCTTTTAATACAGTTAGTCTGAGTTACTTTTCTATTGCTGCGAAGAGACACCATGACCAAGGCAATTTACAAAGGGAAGCATTTAACTGGGGGCTTTTCAGAGGGTGAATCCATAACCATCAAAGCAGGAGGTAGGCATGTATGGTGCCAAAGTAGTATCCAAGAGCTTATATCTGACCCATAAGCAGGAGATGGTCAGAGAGCTAGCCAGAATGGGTCTGACATGGGCTTTTGAAACCGCAGAGCCCACCTCCAGTGATGAAGCTTGTTCAGCCATGCTAATACTTACCGAAATAGTCTACCAACTGGGAATCAAGCATTCAAATATAGCCTATAGGGGCCATTTTCATTTAAACCACCATATAACCGGGTTAAAAACAGCTGTTAACAGTTTTGATAGCAGTTTCTTGTGTTGGGGGTAGAAGCCTAAATCCTCAACAATTGAGAAAACATAATTGACATTCATTTGCATTGTCGTGATTCTCTACTGTGAAGCTTGCTTTATGTTTTTTACTTTTTTTACTGTTGAGCAGTCAACCCAGGGCCTTCATATGTTGAACATTCAATCCATAGACATAAACATCTATGTCCCCGTCTTTGGGTTTTTTGGCCCAGGCTTTTAAGACTGCCATTCATAATTGTAGCGGCGTAAATGAAGGCAGACAGAAATTATAATAAAATATTTAGCTTTAATTATGAAAAGACAGAACCCGAGGTTCCCACAGGAAAGGAGAAGGGAAGGGGGGGAGTACATCAGCAATATTTATTATCCTCAGGGGACTCCGCCCTACAAGCAAGGTGATTGGCTGAGGCCACCCCTACACATAATGAATGTATTTGTGGCTGGTTTCTTCCATAGCCTCCTGAGCTGGTATGCATGTTTGTATCACTGTTCTTGGTCTGTATAACCTTTTTCATATTCATTAAAATAATGCATCTTTATTGGGAAAAATTTTGAATGTTTTTCTCATGTTTTTTAACAGTTCATTTATGCTTGACTGAATGAATACTTTATCTTGTATTTCAGAATTTAGGAATAATTTCACTGTGGATAGATTTGTAGACATTTATGTTTTTGTGTTCTTTTTCCCAGTCTGGAGCCAATTAAATCCTTTGAAGCTCCTGCAACCATCAATTCCGCGTCTCTTCATCCTGAGAAGGAATTTCTTGTTGCAGGTGGAGAAGACTTTAAACTATATAAGTATGACTACAATAGTGGAGAAGAATTAGGTAAGGCTCATGTCTATTCCTTAAATCAGTAGTTCTCAATCTGTGGGTCACAAGCCCTGGGGTTACCTATTCACAGGGGTCACCTAAGACCTGAAACTAGCTCTTGTAGACCAGGCTGGCCTCAAACTCACAGAGATCTGCCTGCCTCTGCCTCCTGTGTGCTGGTATTAAAGGCACTTACCACCACTGCTCAGCCTACCTAAGACCATTGGAAGACAGGTATTTACATTACAATTCATAACTGTAGTTTCACTATGGTTATGAAGTAGCAACAAAAATTTTATGGTTAGGGGGTCACCACAACATGAAGAATTGTATTAAAGGGTCTCAGCATTAGGAAGGTTGAGGACCATTCTTTTTAATAATTTACGTTATCAAAATATTAACTTCTAATAATGAGTACCTTCTTTTTTGTTGTTGTTTGTTTGCTTTAGTTTTTTTTTTTTCTTTTTTGAGGCAGTGTTTTTCTTTGTAACAGTTCTGGCTGTCTTGAAACTTGCTCTGTTGGCTAGACTGACCTCAAACTCAGATCCACCTGCCTCTACCTCCCAAGTGCTAGGATTAAATGCATGCACCACCACCGCCAGCCATCATAGAATGGTTGATAATGTGATTAATTTGATGTATCCTAACTTGATAGTATGTATAATAGTATGCTAGACAGTTCAAAGAGCAAGACTTTATTGCTTATTTTTATGTTTACTTACCAAGTCTAAACAGGTTTTGCTTCTAGCTTGAAGATTTTATTTTCTGTTTATAAACTCCCACCTCTTTTTTTTTTTTTTATACCTGTTTCTAACTGTTCTGGTTTAAAGAACTAAGTTAACTAGATTTGTACACAAAGAACAGGAGGCAACTTTGTTTCGTTTCTTGAGGGAAACTAGTAGATTGGGGTTCGTTTTAGAGTTAAGACTATTTCAGTCACATGTTCAATCCTTGTCAGTTTGAAAGTAGTGGCTGGGTCCTCGCTGGGAGGTGCTCAGCATCAGTAAAGCCCAGGCTGTGGTGGGGAGAAACGGACAGGTGCTGCACTGCGGACCCAGCGTTCTCATCGCAGTCTGTGTTCACACACCTTTGATCGTGTGTGTTTTTTTGGGGGGGGGCTTGTGGGGTGAGGGTTGAATCCAGAACTTTGTGTACAATATTCAAGTATTCCACCCAGATTATTCTTACATGCTTTTTATTCTCCGGCTAGTCTGAATAAGATGATGGGACATTAAATTGTATGTGGGAAGCATTTGTAAGTAAGGGTTTTACTGCAGTAGAAAACCTTCCTGACTATATATTTCCCGTAAAATTTATTATATTAGAATGTAAGGGTCAGTAGTAAGCATTGTGGTGGAATTAAGAAGCATAGACTGAGTATGAAAAAGAGCTCCACCTGGTGGCTCTCTCTAGACGTGGAAGAAATTGCTTCCTCTAAAAGCAGGTAATAAATTCAGGATATAGAAACTGGGATGGAATTGACAGACTTCTGCTCTGATCTCTACAGCTTTATTGACAGCTCCTCAATTCTCTGTGGAATGTGAAACATCATTTTCTTTTTCCAAAGACAGTCTGCCTCTGCCTTACTGGATTGAAAAGGGCTAACTAATCCTAAGGAAATGGCGGAGATGATGTCCCACGAATGCAGACAGTGTCTCTTTTAGTAAATCAGTACTTAGCCTAATAATCAGCTTTACATTAAGTCTGATAGCCCTGTTCTTCACCTTTTTCAGAATCCTACAAAGGTCACTTTGGCCCCATTCACTGTGTGAGGTTTAGTCCTGATGGTGAACTCTATGCCAGTGGTTCTGAAGATGGGACATTGAGATTGTGGCAAACTGTAGTAGGAAAAACCTATGGCCTTTGGAAATGCGTGCTTCCTGGTAAGGACGTTTATTCAAAGTTAATCAAGTTATTGTGCATAGATTTTGTATTATTTGTAAATTCTGCTTCATTGTGTCTTGTTTCCCTTAGATTTTGAATTATGTAATATGATATAAGCAGAGTGAAACCATGATTCTAATCGAGCAATGTCTTTTATGTGCTGAATTGAATGAACTTAATTCAGAATTTATTACAAAGGGACTAGGGAGATGGCCCAGTGGTTACTGGTGCAGATACACAGAAATATCAAATAACAATTGTAAGACGACAATATGAAGAATTTACACATATTTGTCCAGTTTTCTCATAGTATTATATTACTTGATCCGTACCATTGAAAACATGTTCTCAGTTAAAAAGCAAAACGACAAAGACTTACTACTAATCTCAGCATGGCTGTAGTACTAAAAGTGACTTTGAGATGTCTATTTTAGAATCACAGTAACTTTTAAAAGAGAAACTGTGCTGTGTGAGTTCACGGAAACTGCTGTGCTCCTCGTCAGTCACTGCTTTTCTCTTCACAGAGGAAGACAGCGGGGAACTGGCAAAGCCAAAGGTCGGTTTTCAAGAAACAGCGGAAGAGGAGCTGGGTAAATACAAATTAGCTTTTCTAGGAGTCTTGGGGATGTAAAAATTAAGTGTATGTGTGTTTTGGTCAGTGCCAAAAGTAATTTATTAAGTGTGAATAGATTTGAATTAAATTATGGAAAGCTTATATACGAGTGTGTAATCATTAGCTACAGAGTTCTGGGCCTTCTGTACACTGGGCAGGACTAGTGTCTTATTCTAGTAAACTTCAGAGACAGGTGTTATCTTAACAAATTATTTAGTTTATAATTGTGAAGTGAACTAGCATTTAAACCAGTGGAGACCTGTGGGGGGATAAATGTGAGGTTTTAAGGATGTGGTATTGATGAGGGGTGGAGGAGTTCAGCAGAAAACAGAAACACCAAGGCAGAGAAGCAAAATGTGAAGCTTAAGGGCAAAACAAGGCCACCCAGTGCACTGATTGCTGTCTTAATATTTGGAGAGTTTTATGAATAAGAAAAAGGAAAAAAAAACTTTGAATTTTTTTTAAGTGGAGGGATAGATATAAATTTGGGAAATAGTGTGGGGAAAGAATAAGAGTAGGGACATTAAAGTCTAGGGTTGTAGCCATGGGATAGACGAACAAGAAGGAAAGTGAACTTGTTCTTACTGGGAGGATTAGCAAGATGGGTAATGGTTAGATTAGAAGAAGGGTCTTTGCTCTTAAGTAGTGACTTGGGATGGTGAAAAGGGGAGAGTTTACCACAGACTCTGCGACTCCTCTCTCCCCACATTTGATACTGTTAGGACTCTCTTCTCCCCCAGTAAAAGCAGTGTTTAATGCTTATGGTTTTGAATTGCATAGGCTTAAATTTAATTACTAAAGGAAAAGACAGGACTCAAAGAGACATGATTTTAATTAAATGCTGATTGTGTAGTTGGAGTCATTTGAAACTTACCCTGAAAGAACAGGGATGGGGATTAAAACTGGTGTGAAGGCCGTAGAGGAAGATGTCTGGGTTCTGCTCGGGTGTTTGGTGGCCTGAGTCTAGTTGATAATGCATGATCAGTAGCTCTCTGTTGCCATTCTTACCATAGCATGCTTAAAAACCACCTTTCTACTTATTTCCTCTTTATATAGAAACATTGATTTTCTTCTTGACTATGGTTTTGTTTTTTAATTGCAGAAGAAATTGCTTCAGAGAATTCAGATTCCATCTATTCTTCAACTCCTGAAGTTAAGGCCTGAGCATCAGCTGTGTGCCATAGGTGCCATATAGTTTATGGACTAAACAAGCAGAGAAAAGCATCAGCCTTCAGAGTGACTCTCTGCCTGTGGCAAGGAAGGCAGAAAATATTGGGGAATATGAATTAGCTCCAGTGCACGAACAACTGCTGGGTGTTCCTGTGAGTGAAAGTAGCTGCGTGTATGAGGTGCAGGCAGGAGGGTTATGCTCGTGTAGTGCCACAGCCTGCTGTCTCGAATGAGCAAGCCAACGTACACTTTACATTTTACACTTACATTTCTTGTAGCTGTTTATGTTATGGAGAAGAAAAATATATTGGCCTATTTTTGTGACTTTTCCCTTAAAGCAGAACGCCTTTTTTCTCTTAGTTGGGAAGAAGAGGATTTACACGATAAAGAAACTGGTTTGGTCTCTTTCATTGTACACTGACTGCTTCTGAACATCTAATATTTTTTAGTTATCTAAATAAAATGCCTCTAAAACAAAATGATGTTCTGTTTCTTTAAGAAATTTTGATGCATTTGAGTATTAAAACTGGAACTATCCAAAAAGCTTCTACATCATATACAGCATTGTGTAGCAGAAGTTTGGTTACAGGGTCTGAACTGAACATTCCCTAATTCTGAAATTCAGTTACATAAACTTGATATTTTCATTCTGGGTGTTCATTTACCTTCTTCCAGATTGATAGAATTGCTTTTCTTGCATCTTTAAACATGCATGTTAGTTACTAAAAAAGAAAGGCAATTGGAAAGAACAGAAAAATAACTTGAAACTTGATTCTTGTGAAAATCACTAGACATGGAAGAATGTCTGTGTTTGTACAGACTGGGGTAATCGAAACTTGCAATATTGAAGATGTATTAGACTTTGTATCACATCCTTTAAATTTGGGTCATTCAACTTTCTAATAAATTGGATCAGTTGAGTATATTTGTAGTTTATTTACTTTTTACTATATGAAGAGATTAAATTAGTAATTTGAAAATGCAGATGAGTAGCGTCTGTTAATTTGCTTTTTTGTAATTTGTCTTTTGAATGACCTTTAATACTTTGCTTAAAAGAAAGAAAAGTTGTTTTGTCAGGTTTGTGACAACTGACCAGAAGCAGGCACTACATGCAGTGCTGGCCTGGGAGAGTCCATTGATGAGCCTAAGGGCAGTATTGTTCCTGTGTCCGTGTTTAACATGCCTGGTCCTCTGCTCTGTACCAGTATTGTCGATGTATCAAGAATTAAACTGAGAGTTTGACCCTCAATAAAAATTTACATGCATCTTTTGGAATGGAAATTACTTGGTGTTTATGAAGTTTTTAATAAATTGAGGGCATTTCTTAGTTTTGTGCCATTTGTTTCCTATTGCTGGAGCAAGTTTGTAGCTTGGACTGACATGTTTGTATTAATAGATCACAGTGTCCCGAGACTAGAACATGTCTCACTTGACTAGCGTCAAGGTGCTGGCGAAGCTGTGTCCTGTCTGGAGTTTATAATAGAGACTTCCTCTGCCTTCTAGCAGCTAGAAGATGTCTGCAGTCCTTGTCTCTCTTCAGCTGAACTTGTTTCTCAATTTCTTTGATGACTTAGCACTCAGGGGCTCAAATGAGTAGGCATGGATGATCCTGCATGCATGTTCTGAGTCCTGCATCCACTGGGGCTGTTCTGGATCTGTTCTTTGCCTGCCTATAACCACACTGGCCCAGCAGTCCACACTTCCCTTGGGTGTTGAGCCTTCCTGCCTACTTGCCCCTGTGTTTACCTGGTCCTCATCCTTCCTGTCTACACTGTAGGAAAGGGGAATACTTTAGAATTTGAACATTAAGGAACTTAGGTCATTTAGCTTGGATGCTGGTAGATAATTTCTTGGTAGCATGCCTCTTGTATTGAAGTGAGGCTAAAGAAGTGGGGGCCTACTAGAGAGTTGGTTTAGTCAGTATAGAATGCTTTGCAAGTATGAGAACCTTAGTTTGGTTCCCTCAGTACCCACAGCGTCAGGCATGGTGGTGCGTATTTGTGAACATGCCTACATCCATATGTGATAGTTACATATTAGGATACAGGATTGCTTGATCATGGCTGCCAAGGTAATGTATGGGTTCTTGTGTTGGGACATGAATATTTTGTCCTTGGCTGTTGGCACTCTTGGTGTTCTAGTGGGTTCCAGGTTTGTAGTGCCTGCTTCTCTTTTTTGCAAGGTTAAGTAGGCATAATAGTGGTGTTGTGAATATGATCTAGATAAATTCAAATTACTGAGAAGTAGCTGTGTGTGGACTAGACTAGGTAGATGAGCCTCCATGAATGGGAACAAGCCAACTACTATTTAGCTGCGAAATTGTGTGTCTGACACATTGATAGCTTCCATTTATCATTGCCTCAGGCATACACAAACCATACAACTCTGCAAGACAAACTTATTCTGGTCACCCTGTTCTCCAGTAAGTAGATGTAATAATAGTCCTAAAACCTAGTCATTAACTAAAGTTGAAATTTGGATGGGTTTAGCTCATTAGAGCCCCCACTTCCTAATTGCTGCTCAATACTTAATTCTTGCTCTTCTTAGTATACATTTCTGGCAGGATTTTCCAGGGATGAAAATGCTTTTGTATATCTGGAAACACCTAGAACAGTTCATTCATGCTAGACAAACGCATAGCTGAGACGTTTTTAGCCAACAGAGATGAATCCATGTATGAATGCAGATTAGATGGGTAGCAGCCAGACTGGAGAAAAATGTCAGGATCGCAAGATTTCAATTTTAGAGAGCCAAGAAATTGTCAGGTAAGGAAAATGGAAGTTCACAAAGGCCACATGTGTCCTAGGTCACATATTCAATTATCCACAGGACTAAGTTTAAGGAAAAAAAAACCCCTTCAGGGCCGGAGTGATGAGCATTTACAGAGTGCTTGCTCTTTCATAAGAGTAGTTTGGCTCCCAGCTCATGACTGCTTTTAACTCCTGCGCCAGAGAATTCTGCCTTGGCTCTGCAGGTACACATCCGTAGACACACAAAAATGAAGTCGTGCCCCCCCACCTTTTTAGTGAAAGAGACCAAGTCTTTCGTCGAATGTGATAGCATCCCCCTACATTCCCAGCAGTGTGCAGTATGAAAGTTTCTGGCTCGCTGGTTCAACAAAGGCAGCTATGCTTACAGATTCCTGTCTCAGAAACAGAAGAAGAAACCGGACGGCGGTGGTGGTGCATGCCTTTAATCCCAGCACTTGGGAAGCAGAGGCAGGCGGATCTTTGTGAGTTCGAGGCCAGCCTGGTCTACAAGAGCTAGTTCCAGGATAGGCTCCAAAGCTACAGAGAAACCCTGTCTCGAAAAAAAAGAAAAGAAAAGAAAGGAATAGAAGGGGAGACCAGGTCTTCCCAGGCTCATGTTCTAGCTGCTCTTATTGAGTCTAGACTAGAAATAACCATGTGCACTAGGGCCTAGACCGTGCCTTGGTAGCCATCTGAGGGCTACGTTCAGGCCCATCTCGTGTTGCAGAGCTCTGCCCACTCTAGAACTGCCTCTCTCGGATTAGATGCGTAGCAGTGAACGTACCTAGGACTCATTCTGTTTGGCTCAATTGGCAATGTAACCATTTAAAAATGGTCCGAGGAGACTTCCGGGAGCAGAAGCGTGCCTAGGTCACGCGCCTGGTCAGGAGGGCAAGGGCAATGGGTGTGAGGTCCTGGTTGGGCGCCACGCCCTGGAGCTGCCAGGGAAAAAGGTAGTGGCCAGCTGGGGCGGAGGGGCGTGGCTATGGCGGGGCGGGGCTCGGGGCGGGCACTTGGCAGGAAGAAGGTAGGCCGGTGCGGAAGGCGGCCTTAGCCCGAGTTTGGTTGTTGGCGGTTTTCACGATGGCCGTGCACTGTCGGGGCTCAGAACTCGGTAAGGGCCGGTGGGAGGCGCTCCCTGCTTCGCCTGGTCGCGTGCTCGGGGAGGAGCGGGGATGCCTAGGGCGGTCCCTGGCGGGCAGAGACCTGAATCAAGGCAGAGGACGTTCATGCTGTCTGGCACTTTGCAATCTTTAAGCAGAAGCAAGGAAGGTTAGACCTTCCCACTTTCTAGCTGGGTGGTCGCAAAGACAACAAACCACAGAGAAAATCCTGACAGAGTACTGCTGGATCCACGTAGCTATACCCAAAGTTAGCTGCGCTGGTGGGAGAGTTGTCATAACCTGCTTAAAGTGATTTTAGATGGCTTTCAAAATGTCCCTTTTAAAACCGCGTTTCATCTTACTGATAGTAGTTCAGATATTGCTGGGAAAGAAAACTTAAAAATCTGTTATTCAAACGTAGCAAAGAGGTAACCGAGCCAAATGCGAATGATCTAACTTTGTATAACAGTTTTACATCCTGGATCCTCTTAGTCGTGTGGTTTTGGGTAAATTACTCACTTTGTGTTTAAGCATCTTCACTTGTAAAACTAATTAGGAAGCTACTGCTTGTCTGAAGGCAGTTCGGATATTGCCAGGATACCGTAGCCTCTGGTCGATTTCGCTGTACTTAGTGTTGAGTATGTAACAGTATTAAACGAGTCAGGAAGTTCTGCTTGTAGGGGCTGACTTTGAGAAAGTGACTGTCAGTGATACACATGGCTACTTTTTTCTCTTTAAAAGGGCTTTATTTGAACAGTCTAGACTTGAAGCGTTTACAGTTTTTTTCTGAATGGAAAGTGGTAAGCCTGCTTAGCACCTAGTTCCTGTGCCAGGCTTATTTCATTTCAGTCCCTGCCCTCCATCAGATGATGGTTTCGACTTTAGTTCTATCCCTGAAATGTAAACTTTAGCAATGGCTGAACTCAGGCTGAGCATACCCTGAGTTGGAAGATCCTTGAAGATGGGGGTAAGGGGTGCAGGTGGGGTGTGTCCCTTTCTGTGCACGTGTGGAGGGGATAACATAATTTCCCCAAACATTTACTTAAAAGCTTCACATTTTCCTTTCAGGATATGTGGTTAAACCATTTTCACTTCTTTGTTTTTGAGACAGGGTTTCTGTGTGTAGCTTTGACTGTCCTGGGACTGACTCTGGATATCAGGCTGACCTCAAACTCACCAAGATCCTTTTGCCTCTGCCTCCTGAGTGCTGGGGTCAAAGGCATGCGTCACCATGCCCTGCTCATTTTCACTTTCGTAATTCGTAAGTTCAGACTGGGCACCACGACAGATCTTTTCTGTTGTAAAAGGTGAGCGGGCTGCTTTTTGTCCTGCCCAGCTCCCGGCTGCCCAGCTAGCTTTACCCAGAATAATTACATGGAAACTGTATTCATTTAAACACTGCCTGGCCCATTAGTTCTAACCTCCTATTGGCTAACTCTCACATATTAGTTTAACCCATCTCCATTAATGTGTATTGCCACTTGACTGTGGCTTACCAGCATGAGTTTAACCAGCATCCATCTTGGTGAGGAGAGCCTTAGTGGTTGCCAAATTTCCCTTCTTCCCAGCATTCTGTTCTGTCTACTCCGCCCACATAAGGGCTGCCATATCAAAAGGCCAAGGTAGCCTCTTTATTCAACCAATGAAAGCAACACACAAAGAAGGACTTCCTACACCACTTTTCTTAAGAAGCCAATAAAAAGCACCTCTCATCTGTTGAAGAGTAACAGGGTAGACAGAAATTGCTGCCATAGGAAATGTGTTCTTATGCCTCCATGTAAAGGTTATATTTTTCTTACTGTTTTTGTAGGTTAATGCTGTATCTGCAGTGGCATTAACTGTTAGGAATGACAGCTTTAATATAAACTGCTCAAGTAAATCACATGAACAATATATATAGATCCTAGGGAAAAATTGCTCTCTATTAATTTCAACATTGCTTTAATTGATGATTTTTGCTGGTTGAAGGCACTTTAATATTTTTATTGAACACTGTTAATTTTTAAAAGAAATTAACTTCATTTAAACACATTTTCATTACAAAAATTTTAGAAAGTAGTTATCACCAGAAAGATTGTAGACTTCATTAATCAAAGGGTTTTTTCTTTTAATTTTATGTTCTTGTTTTGCCTGTGTACCCTATGCTTGCAATGCCTGTTGAGACCAGAAGAGGGCATCCAATCTCCTGGGATTGATGTTTCAGATAGTCAGGTCCTTTGGAAGAGCAACAAGTGCTCTTAAGATGAGACACCTCTCCAGCCTTTAATCCAGACATTTATTTATCTACTTTGTGTGTGTGTTGGTGCATGCCTATACCACTGATCACCTCTGGCGGTCAAAGTTCAGCCTCCAGAGTTGGCTCTCGTTCCTCCATTTGCCACCTAGGGTTCAAGCTTGGGATGTCGGGGGTGA